TGCGGCCAAGGGAGGAAGAGAAATTTATAAAGAGCTCAGAGAACAGTGAGTGTGCCCCCAGCCTTCTGTGTGGGGGTCTTGGGACAGCACTGTTTAGTTGTGTAAGCCGTAGAAACTCAGGGTTCCTCAGGGCCCGGTCTTCCCGTGTGTCCCTTTCAACGCAACACGGTCCAGTGAGCAAAGTCAACAAAAGTAACTCTAATCTCTTCTTGAAGTTCTCAAGCAGCAATAGTACAACAGTGAATGGCAAATAACATGAAGGAAAATTCAACTGATAATCCCCAGGAACACATCGTTAAAATATTTTTCTTCCATTCCTACAGTTCTGCTTTTCTCTCCAATTCGGCAGCTGCCCTGAAGCTCTTACTGTCAACCACGCCCTGCTGGTCATCCCACCAAACTTTCCCCTTCATTTCCTCTTTATATCTTTCTCTTTTAGGTTTCCAAAGTCCCCCATTGACTGATATCTTTAGTCTTGCTCTATGATTTACTTCTTCAATTGCGGGCTAGGGTGTGTGCAAATAAACTGTAATTCCTTCATGTCAACATCTCTGATTCCTGTTATGTAGCAAGGACCCCATGCAAAGGACACTCCTACATTGCTTCGTGATGACCAAGCTCTTCTGCACAGTCTTTACTGTGTGCCAGAGGCAGCAGCCAGTTTCTCTTGTCACCTGGGTTTGAATCCACTGCTTACTCTCTGGGGAGCTGCAGGGTTGCCATCTCTTCCGCTCGTTAGCTGCCTGTCCTTGACAAGTTACTTAATCCTTCTGGGGCTCAGTTTCTCCATCTGTAAAGTGTGACAGGTTGATAGTACCTACAACATAGGGTTGTTGTGAGAATTGAGTGAAATAATTCATGCAGATTGAACATCATTACAGTGCCTAGAACGTAGTCAATACTCCAGGATAGATCCAATTAAGAGTGATTTTGTTTTTACTTAAATGCTAGGAGCACCCCATGCCTTGGGTCGGCTCACTACAAATGAGTGTATCTCAGAATCTCCCCAGAGAAGGGCTGCTCAGGTCAAAACAGATGATGTGATGAAGTGGGGGCACAGAGACCCCAAGATGGGTGGGGCCTGGGGCCTGGGCCAGGGGAGACAGCACCTGTGACCAGCATGGAACACAAGGAATGTTCCATGGGAGGATTGTTAGGAATGATGCTCCCTAAAAGTTTCCCTCCCTCCAGTCCAGATGGCTCCCCCGACACTCAATGTGACCAAGAGCAGAGACGGCTACATCCTGCACTGGAGAGCAGAGGAAATGATCTACAAACACATAGGTCACACCTTCCAAGTCCAGTACAAGAAAGATGCAGCCTCATGGGAGGTGAGGGCCTCTACCTGGGGAGGGACCTGTGTGGAGGAGGGGGTGAGATAGCACCCAGGAGGGCACGATGTGTCAGGTGCTGGGACTCGGTGATCACGACCCCGTGTGGTCAGCAGGTCACCATCTCGTCCTTTGGTGAAGGCACTGAGGCTCACAGAGGTGACATGACTTGGCCAAAATTAACACAGCCAATCCTGAATTGCAAAGGGAGCCTAGGGTGGGGAGGGTTGAGAGACAGCTGGATAAACGGTTTTCCAAAGTCGTAACGTGCACATTTCTTCAGAAGAATCTTGTCCGGAGCGCAAATGTGCTGCCGCTAAGAGCAGAGCTGTTTATATGGAATCAGGCAGGGCCCAGCGCTGGGCTCAGTCTCCTGCCCCCTCCCTCAGGCAGCCCTCGGGGCCTGTGTCCAGAACCCGAGGCTCTGCAGAGCCCAGATCAGAAACCTCGGAGCCAGCCCCAGACATTTAGACTGAAAATGGGAAACTGAGGCCAGGAGGGCGTGGGTCAGGCGTGGAGCTGGGAGTGTGCCCCAGGCTCCTGAGCCCCTGTCTCAGAGTCCAGAGTCCAGTCATCCTGCACTGTGTTCCTGGGGAGGCCATCATTGGGGTCCAGGTTGCCCCCAGAGGAGCTGGGAGGTGGAAGGGTTTCAAGGCTGGGGGACCCGATGACTCCTCAGGGTCTCTGGGCCTCGGTGCTGTAATATGTCACAGGGGTGAATTACAAAAGGTGCGGCCCCCGGTCCTATCCAGAGTGCTCTCCCTCCGTGGGCACTGGGCTGAGTCCTCCACGATGGGAGTGATGCCGCATGAGACCTGGAGATGCGGGCACAGCTGGGGACTGAGGGCTAGCAGAAAAGCTGGGGTGCAGAGGTGGGAGGGGTTTGCTGCTGCGCACACGTGCCCCAGACAGGTTGCCACAACCTCAGCACCACTGCTCACACACCTGCACCCACAGGAGAGCAAGACAGCGTCCCTCCAGAACGCCCACAGCATGTCCCTGCCACAACTGGAGGCCTCCACCGGGTACCAGGCGAGGGTGAGGGTCAAGCCCGCCCCCGGTGGCTACAACGGGATCTGGAGCGAGTGGAGTGAGGAGCGCTCCTGGGTCACCGAGTGGGGTATGTCTCCCCGGCCTCCACCCACCCTCCTGCTGCAGCCCAGCTAGGCAGAGCACAGGGGTGATGCGGACATGGAGATGTGACCCCGCCCCGCCCAAGCAGCCTTCCATCCCATGAGTCACTAGTCATTGGAAAGTGACACCTGGTGTGACACAGGCTGCAGGTGAGGTCTTGAGAGAACAGAGAAGAGCAGGTTTCCCCATCAGTCCTCGCTCAGACCAGACCTTAGCCCTCTATTAATATGGGCCATGGTTTCATTAGCCATTATGGCAGACACCAACCCAGGGACCACTCAGCCTGGTTTCCTGTTACCATGGCAACAAACATCGGGAGCTGCAGACTGAGGCCTGGGACCGGAGGTCTGGGTCTGATTTCTCAATCTCCCCCACTTCCCTGCTCTGGCTGCTTTCATTTCTCCCTCACCTTTCCCCACAGGGGCCACAGGAGACAAGTGCAAGACTAGGTCCAGGAGGTGGTTGCAGAGAGGAGGGAGGAGTGGGGAGCAAGCGCCCCAGACCCAGGCGGCCTTAACAGGGGAGGAGCCCCGGGGAGAGGGCCACAGTCAAGCAGAGAGGGGGGCTGGACACCAGGCCCAGGGAAGGACACCAGGGGAGTCCCGGAGGGCCCAGCCTCTGAGGGGCTCCAGGCTGCCTGGCAGGAAGTGTCGGGGGCTCCTGATGGGCCTCTGCACCTGCTGGTGCCTCCACCAGCGCAGCTTTCCCATTCTCTGCCTCTCCAATCTTCCATGTTCCTCGAGGCCCAGTTTATATGCTGCCTCCTTCAGGAAGCCCCTCGTGATTGCCATGGGCTGCAGGCAC